CCCTCCACAGGGTACCTCTGGTTCAAATCCCCAGCAAAGACATGGAAGAATTTTTGCAACGCGCCAAATCTAAACTGGTAAGTCAAGGGAGCAAGTGTGTGTGTGTGTGTGTGTGTGTGTGTGTGTGTGTGTGTGTGTGTGTTTGCGCGCGCGCTGATGGAAAGGAAAGGGTGTCGCAGCAGAGGAGGAAAAGACAACTTTGTCACTTAGTTGGCAGGGTGTTAGGGCTGTACTCCGCCTTCCCCCGCACCCCCCCAATCTCTGGATCGCTGGTTCTTAAAGTGATAAATCTGCCTCGACAGCTTTCCAACCACAGCCATATAAGTTATAGAACTGGCGGGGGTGGGGGTTGTGACCCAGCTGAAAGTGGGGTCACATGTATCCAGCTCTGGTACCTTTGGTCTGATGTTGGAAATTCGGCCAAAACTACAGTTTGCTCCTGAAGAATAGGGGATAAATGGGTGTGGTCCTCCTTGGAAAAAAAAAAGAACCCAGTCTAGTGCAGATGCAATATCTGTTGTTGAAAAAGGAAGAACAGAATTCCCGAGGGCTGGTACTTCAGCTGGAAGTGGCAAAACCCCAGTGAGGAAGTCAGGAGATAATTAGGGAGGATTCTGCAAACGTTCAGTTTATCCTCAGAATAGTGCTTGCTCTGTGCAGGAATAAGGGATATCCTAGTGTATATCGTGTCCCTAATCTCTGTTCACATCTGTAAATTGGGGCCGAGGCAGAAGGGGGAGAGCCCCAACTGTTGCTGGCGATGTGAGGTTTGCAGACTATTGTTCTCCTGAGAGGAGTCTAGCAGTTGGCCTGGTATGTTTTACTGTATTGCCAGCTAAACAGTGACTGATAATTTCACTGTGTATGTTGGCAATTGCTACACATTCTGGGACAACAGATTCTAATACTTTCCTAATTTCAAACTGTTTTGGTTCTTCAGCATAGCATTCACAAACATAATAGAAATGTTTCTGTTTCAGCACTTAAAAAAAAAAAAAAGCCTGTGCTTGTTTAGAAGCAATCTCTTTAATGAACAATGAAAGCACTTTTTATGGGCCTGGCATAGAAGGAAATGCATAATTTATGATGCCTTTAAACCATCATTGAAACCAAAAGGTAAACTGCGTGAAGGTGACGTCTTACTCTCAAGGCAGGATATTTGGGAGTTTATTAAGGAAACTCATTTACCTTGGCAAAACAAAGGGAGTGTGGGAAGGGAGGGCCTGAAGATACCCAAACCTCCATTCCCAGCAGAGAGGAAAGTGGGCTCCTTATAGCGATCTAAACTGTAAGTATCTTTAAAAGAATCATTAGTGTTGATTAGTACTTTATAATTACTTTGGTTTTCTACCTTAAGCTTCCCAGAGAGTTAAATGTTTGTGGCTGTTTCAGTATTGAGAAGCTTTGTGACCATTTCAGTGTTTATTGACCTCCATATAGTCTTATTAGAGCAGGTGAGCAAAAATACTTATTGCAGAAACTCAGTAACTATTTTGCATCTCTGATGGCATTGGTACATGCTCTGTTCTTTACTGAATAATGGGCAAGAAATATTAACAAATTTAAGTGAATTTTGTCAGGTGTGTGTGTGTGTGTGTGTATGTAGGATGGAAATTTATGGTGATCAAGGATAATGCAGAGCTTTGCACTGCACCTGTGCTCTATTCCCATCACGTTTACTTTATCAATATTTTAACAGTAAGCATGTGTTTATTGTGGGGGCTGCTGCAAGCAAGAGGTTTGTCTCATTTCTGAAGAGCAATTGCTGGGATGGAAATTTCCCTATATCAGAGTAATCAGTTGAAAGTAATGTGTAATTTATTTACCGAATCCCTTCATTAGACGAGCAATTGCTCTACATCATTAAAAAAAAAAAAAAAGACAGGGAACAGAAGCTGTTGTTTGAAATTCTCTTACCAGTTTCCTGCATTGGCCAGAAGAACAATTAAGCTAATTTTATCTTTTCTTGGAATGGGTTCCTAGCCAGAAATTATATTCAGCCTTTGATGTTTAGCTACAGCAAAGGTGTTTTGGTCATATTTAGTCTCACATTTTTCTTGACAAGTTACATTTTTTTTAATAAAAATAAACCTTTTAAATGAAAAGTTTTAAATAAATTTTTACCTAATGTTCAGTATTAAAATATAGTAGTGATAACACTCTAGAGGATCAATAACCTTTTCCTTGGAGAAAAAAGTTTAGTCCATAATTATATAATTCATTTGAGGAACTTTATTCATAGAAAAAAATGATAGGATTTTTAAAAATTTGGCTAATCCTTGTAAAAGCAATTTAAGGAGAAGAAATTTATTGTGATGGTTTTACACTTAAGCCTTATTAGAACCAGAATTAGAATTTAGAAGTTATGTATAAGTTGCTTTCCATTAGAAGTTTTTTAAAACTAATTAATTAACTTATTTGTTATACATGAAAGCAGAATGCATTTCAACTCGTAGTACACATATGGAACACAATTTTTCATGACTCTGTATCTATTAGAAGTTAATATAGATTTTTCTCTGTTACCTAAAAAATGCCTAATTGCCAGCACCCTATATTTACTTGTTGCTTTAATATTCTATAGAAATGATATATGCCTTTTAGTGATTTGAAATAGAGATCCTTCTGAAGTCCTAATATAACCTCATGATCATCTGGGCTTCCTACTTTCAATCGACAAAGGGAACTATAAATTAAAATGAACTATAAAATGCAAAATTATATCTATTGTCCATAGATATAATTTCTAATAAAAAATCAAAATTTTGGAGAAACCGTGCTTCTTTTTTCTGATGAGACATTTGATATTCATCTGTCTCCACGTGGAGAGAAGCTTTCTGATCTTGGCCAGGCCCTTGGATTGAACAGAAATCTTTGATGAGAAGGGGTGTGTTTGAATTTTTATTAGGAAGTGAGGGGTTAATTATTGTTAAGAGTTGGGCAACCACTCTCTTAGTTCTGTTTTTTAGCCGAGTCTGGTTCTTAATTTGAGGCAGATTCAATGACATAATCCTGTCCTGTGCTCTTTTTCCCCAAATCTTTCCTTCCAAATGCTCAATATTTCTCAGAAGTGGCAGAAGTAAACCCTAAGTGTGGCCTAAGAGGGATCACCTCTGCCAGAGCTTGGATGCACCTCCAGCCGACCTGCTCATGCCTGGTTAGGGAGGGGGTGGTGGCTGGAGCCAATTCATGAAAACAAAACAAAAAATCTTCAGTTGAAGGTGGAGGATAGTAGGGAAGGTAATTACTCTTTTCAAACACAGTATCCAGAAATGGCATCTTTTTGACAAATACAGAAAGACAGCTATGGAATTGACACACAATGACTGTTTGGGCGATAAAGACTAGAGCAAGCTGAGAACTCCGAACTGTAGAGACGAGAATCACAGGGTGATGCCTTTTAGCTGGGCTCACTCATCTGGTTGTGAGAACCTGGCTACTTTTCTGATCTGGATACTCATGGAAATGAGAGTGAAAACACACTTTCTTTTTCTCCTGCCAGTGTCCGCCTGGTTTTTCCTGCACTGCTCATTCAGCATTGAAACAGAGGCAGAAATCAAATCATACAATTCCAGATCAATCTTTAAATATCAGCCTGGCTTTCCATTTTAGTTACACCATGGTAAGAGAAATTGAAGGGCTGGAGAGTGAGGAATTCCTGCCTTTGTTTCTGATTTGGAAAATGCCCTACAACTTCATAGCTTTCAGTTCAGAAAAGTGTTCAATTCAAGAACAAACTCATCGAAGTACATGGTTCAAGTTCTCTTGAACATTGGAGCGGGCTGGGAGGGGGAAGTGATGTCAATGAGAAATCATCTGGGGATGAATAGAGAGCCAGGGGTAAACTGGTGGCTGAGTCTCCCTTAACACCCAGAAGCCACCACCTGATGCAATCCAAACAGCTGCTGATGGGTGGGGACCACTGGAGCCCACATACCTTCATGAGCCTGCCTTAGAGGGGGCCTGTCAGCTGCTGCTGGAAGAATACAGCGGCATGCCAATGTCCCAGAAATGATTTTGAAAGAGAAAGTGAGGATAGAGTCACCACTGCAGGCCAGAGGATGCACCTGCCCTCAGCAGTGACAGCTGCGGATGAAGGGCTCATGTCTGCATTGGGTGTTAGTCAATACCAGACTTCTAGAGGAGAAAAATTCTGGATGACCTAAATGTTTTCTGTGCTCTGTGGTCTGTGGGATAGGGATGAGAAAGCGCATCTAAAACTTGAAATGTAAAAACTGTATTAGAGTGGACACAGCGTAGGGGGTTTTTATGTTGAAAAAAAAAAAAGAAGAAAGAAAATACTGCAGCATGTCTGCAGAATAATCACCTTGATCAGAAATTAAAGGAAATCATTCTTCCTGCGTCCTATATGGGAAGAAGGTGCATGTCAATACAAGGATGTTTTAAAAGTATTTTTTAAAGGACCACTGTGGTAAAGACTAGTAATGAGGAGAAGCTGGAGAATGGTTTCATCGGGTTGCTGAGCTCTCCATAGTGAACATGGGTCCAGCTCCAGCCCCACTGCAAGCGAGGGCAGGTACTCTTGAGTCAGTGCTTCATGCCAGATCATTATGAGCAGAAACCTTGGGAGTCCAAAACATTTCTGTGAGTATGGTGCCACCCGACTTAGTACGGACCCTTGACTGCTGTAGTCCTGGAGTCGGCTCCATTTCTCACTGCCTTAGCATCCAGGCCAAAGGCTGGGGGTTGTCTATAAGTCTCAGTACTTTAGGAAAAGAACCAGACTGTTCCAGTATAAACAGACCTCAGAGTGGATTACTTTGTCTCCAAGGAGAAAAGACAGCAGTTTGGATCTTGGAGGACGTGAGATTAGCTGAGCAAGGGCACTCTTTAGTCTGTGATTTGGGGAATACTTAATGTCAACTAAGTAAAAAGCCGACAGCATTGGTATGACTTGTTTGCTTCTGTGTATCATTTTATTTGAGCAGATATTGGTATCATTTGGGGTATGGTGTACAAGTCTGGGGAGCACTTGCAAGCCAAGGTGGCTGGATGACAGAGACTTTATTCTTCCCTTATATCCACCCCTCCATGCTACCTCTTGAGCAGAATGAGG